AATAGATAGTATATAGTTTACATTATTCTATAAATTAAAATATATATAAAGACATATTAACTATAAAAAGTTAATAAAGGACATAAAAAATATAGTATTAAATATTTTTATAAGACAAGCTATTAAAAAAACAAACAATAATGTAATAACCTATCAATGGATAACTCAAGGTAAAACTAAAAAGAGATAGGATTAGCAAATCTAAAACCAACATAAATACACATAGGACTTAATATAAGAATAATTTAAGAATGAATATACATATAAGACCTTCTTTAAGAGCTTATAAAACAAAAGCTTTCTCATTAAATTGATTAATGATAAGCTATCAATATTAACTAAGCTAGTCCTAAGAAGACTGAATCTATATAATTAAGTGAAATGTATTATATATGATCAGAAAAAGGAAATAATAGAATACTTGCTAAAATGCTCAACTTACAAGACTCAATAACAAAAAGAAATAAAAAGAGTTATCAAAGAATTCAGAAAGCTCTCAAAAGAAAAAAAAAAAAAATCCAAAAAAAAAAAAGTTAAATTTAATAATAGGTGATAGAATAGAAATAGAAAAAATTGACAAATATATAGTAAATTTGATAAAAAAGATCTCAAAAACCAGTTAGGATATACTCGACTTCTGTATGGGACTAATATAGGAAGATCTAATTGTAATAATAACTGATCTGAAGTATTGTAATAAGAGAATTGGAAAAGAGGTAAGAAGATAGATAATGCAAATATAGAAGAAAGTATATACACATTTTCAAAAAAAAATATAAAATATAAGATATAAAAAGATGATCGAATAGGAATAGATATCAGGAATCTACAAATATAACAATATAAAAAAACCAGTACACTTATAGGATCAGAAAAGAAAGAGCAAGAGTATAAAAAATCGATTCAGTAAGAAGTTAGTATATGAAGAAAAAAGAATTGAATATAAGAAGTTAAAAGAAATCCTATTAAATGGTGTGAAGTATGATATAAAGTAATTAGAATTTTGATGTCTGTCAGAGCTTAAAAGAGTAATCTGCAGTAGTGACCTATAGGCAATGATGTTAGAAGTTGAAAAAGTCTTTACTTGAACCTCTAATGGAATAATAAATCATTTTTGAAGTTGTATTTAAAGAGATAATATAATCAAAATAAATGAGTTAGTTAGAGAATTAGCTTTAACATTTTATTTAATATATATAACCTACAAATGTTTAATAAAGCATACATAACTAACCTGATAGAGGAAAAAAAATTTTTAATTAATTATATATTATATATTATATTATAATTTTATTATAAAACTCTTTTTATTATTCAATTTTACCATCACCTTTAAAGCAATATTTATCAGAAGTTTTATATTTTTGCATTAATAAAGTTACTATATTATCACTAAATACACTTTGTAAATATATTATAAAGTACTTCTCATCTAATTTTATTTTTTTTTCATTCCTCTAATTAGCTTGAGTGTCAGTTTTAAGTCAAAAGTAAATGAGGTAGAACCTGAACTTTAATGGCAAGAAAAGATACTTAGAAAGAAGACTTTTGGGTGAAAACTCCTTTTCATAACTTTATAATAGGGTAGACAGGTTTATAGAAAGAGTATTTGTTAAAGGTTATGTCATGTACAGTGATCTTGTCTTCTAAGAAATTATTAGACTCCAAGCTTTCTAAAGTGTATAAACAAATTTTTAGTTTTTTTTGAAAGAGAATTTTGCCAATCCCCTCTGATCTTGAATTTTTGATTATATTGGATCTGCTGAAATTTCATTGACTAGAGATTTAAAGCTGAATAATGTCATCAATAATAAAAGATAATCAATATATACACATGTTTTACATATTTTTTTTCATACTTGATAATCAAATAAGTTTTGATAGCTTTCTCAGATAGATAAAGATCTATTTTATTTTTATAAAAACAAACAAGATGAATAGAAGGTTTTTCTTAACTGACAAGTTTTTTATTCCTGATTCATGATTTGTATAAGGATCACAAACTGAAAACCAATATCAAGACTTTCAATACAACTTCCTTTCAAGTATGGTTATTTAGATTACTAGTAGTATTTATTTATTTAATTTTTTGTATACCCATAGTCAGGCTAGATTGTGAGTTTATTAATCAATTGAAAATATAAGTACATTTTTATTCAAGCAGCATGATATATACTATAGCTAAACTATTATTCTAATTTAACTAACTCATTGTAAGCTTAATAGTCTCTAAGTTCAGCCTTGGAAACAATATTTCACTTTGCAGTGTCTTTGGGTAAAGACCCTCCTAGTTTACTGCATTGCCAGCAGGTTGTCACTGCCATATGTTTGAACAAGCCACTAGAATATAGAAAACTATAAAAGGATGGGTTGAAAAAAGGATAGGGGATATTTAAAAATGTCTATGTAGATAACAAGAAAATAAAAAAGTAAAAATTGAAAAAAAAAAACATTTCCAGCTTCTTTCAAAGACCGGTTTCTCAAGATCTTTTCTTAATAAGAAATACCCAATTGGAATATCCTTTCTTTTCCTGACCATCTGAGGAACTTATCTATTCTTGATCTTGATTTCCTTCTTATATACTGTCTGAGGAAACTTATCATCTAGTGGAAGCCTTTATTTTCAGGACACACTTTGTCCCAACCTTCTTTTGGCAGAGATTTTTTTATTTATCTACGATAGAAAGGTGACTTACAATGAACCCCAGGTTTTTATATGATCTAGTAGAAACTAGGTTATATTGTTTTAGTATGATACCTTCCAGCAGCCATATCTAGTTAAAGAAATTTTACTGGTGTATATCTTTCATTGTTTAAAATAGTTATTCCCCAAAGATCTTTTTGCTTCATAATAGTGGGAGAGTATCAAAAAAACAGTGAGGATCCTTATCGATTGTGATATTCTTCAACAACTTCTGGGAAAATGCATTCTCCACTGTAACCAAAGGGTTGAAGCTTAGCATGGACTAGAGACCATTCAGTCTTATTATCTGATCAGAATAAAAAAGAAACCTTGGTCTTGAACTTTGCCTAACTAGAATGATAGGAGAGAAAGATTTTAGCTTGAACAAATAGTAGCTTTTTCATCACCTGGAAACTTGTTGCTTGTATCTTATTGATCTCATGATACTTAATCTATAGGTTAATCTAATTGGAGGAGTGGGTGGACACGAGCACCAATCAACTCTTTCTATTACCAATGACATTATTGGAATATATGAGATAATCAATAGGAGCTTGTTTATATTTAGTTATTAACATGTTTCATATTAACCAATCAGATGTCAGATAATATTGTACTACCAGAAATTCAGGATCAAATTGAGATAGGCAAAATTCTCCAAGAAAACTATGAAAAACAGTAGATACTTTAAGAAGGTATAAGATAGTATGTGAGAAGGTGAATAATAAGTCTTCTCCTGTCAACAGAATCTCTATTTCTTGTTGCTTCTAGCTCTGTAAAGTGACATTCTACTTGTCAGTTCTTTTACTTCCTAGAATCTTCTTGCCCTCAGTAGAGGAAGTGTATACTTGAGTCTTTTCAGACCATTAGAAGTTCAAGTTTTTATTCAAAGAAGTTTACAAACAAGTAAAGGAGGGTAAAAAAGATATATAAAGACAAGCTTCAAGTTTTTTTAATGAAAGTGTAAAGACTTATTAGCGAAGAAATATAAAACTTCTTGCAAACATCTTTTTTGTATATAGTCAAAGAATCAGCAAAAAGAGTTGTCACTATCAGTGGTAATTATCAATCATATTTCTAGTAAAAATATTTATCAAAAACTATTGTCAGATTGAAAGATTCCCTAAAGACTTAACTTGACTTTGGAAAAGTTATACCTTTTTAAATAAGTAGTTTATACTTGAAGCTAGTATTATCTTTAAAATTGAATCATTAATCCTTTCACAGGTTTTAAGATATTTTCTTAGCTATAAATCTTACTTAATTTTAGGATGATTAGTTCCCTAGACAAACTTTCAGATGAAATAATATCAATAAAGTTGATCTTTAAAACTATTCCTCTTTCATCTGAAAAAAAGAAGATATAGAAGAAATCCTATTTTTCTTTTTAAAAATAAAGGGATACAATACTTCAATAGATAATTTATAGATATTAACTTTCTCCTTGATATTAGTCTTAGTAGATGGTCGATAATAGAGAATATTTAGGTTTTCATTTAGTAGTACTCTGATATTTTTTCTTTATATTTTCAGCACTAGTTTAAAAGTAATTTTAAATTAGTTTCACTTGATTTGAAGTAGCAAAATATAATTTGGTAAACTATTAAGTTTTAGGAAGTTTAATAATACTCTTAATAGTTGTAATAATTTCAAATATATTTTGAATTTTATTATATTATTGTTAATAAACAAAATGAGTTGGCAATTAAAAAAAAAAATATTATAATTTGTAATTAATAAAATTTTAATAAATAGTTTTAAAAAATAGTCATTGAATTTTCAATAAATGGTTTTAATAAATAATTAACAAATTATTAATAAACCATTAATAAAATTTTTTATAAATTAATAATAATTTATTATTGAATTTTTGACAAATTATTAATAAAATTTTTAATAATTTTTTAATAATTTTTAATAAAATTTTATTAAATAGTTCATAAATTTATTTGATAAATAGTTAATGAATTTTTTGATTGCTTATAAATAAATTATAAATATATCAATTTTTGTAATATTTATAGTCAAATTATATAGTTACCAATTTATTTATATTATTAATTTACTAAATTGTTTATTTTTTTTTAAATGTTATATAAGTAACAATATATTGCATAATTTTTTTTAACTAGCATATAGTATATTTATATTTTTATTAGATAAATCTAATTAAAAATTATTATAAAATTTAATTTTTTAATTCTTATAAAATGCCAATATTTCTATTAAAATAATTCAATCAAAAATAAAAAATTTGATATAAAAAGTAAAATTATTATTATAGTTAAACTTTTATAAAATTTTTATTGAATTTAAATTACTATTGAAATTAAGATTTAAAAATCTTATTAAAGCTAATATAATATATAATAATATAAAATTTTAAATAAAGTTATATTTTATCATATTATTATAAAAAGATTTTATATTTGTAAATATTATTATAATTATTAAATTTTCTAATACCTTTTTGATGAAATCTTGATAAGTACTAATTTTTTATCATCATTTATATCTTTTAGAATAGCTTATTTAAGGGTATTTATTTTTTAAAATAAATATTAGTTTGAGATATTTATATATTAAATAGTTTTTGATTTTTAGAAATTATTAAAAAAGAGTTTGATAAATGTTTTAGATAATTATTACAGTTTTAAAAATAAAGCCCAAAAGTCCATTAATATAATAGAATTTGGCAAGATATAATATACTAATTAGTTAAATTAGAAGCTTTTCTTTATGCAATTCTTTCAATAGTACAAGTATAGATTTCAACTTTTGATTTAATAGAAAGTTATAGGTTCTATTTTTATATAACTTAACTATTTTTAAATATGATTTGAATTATCGAATCCAACTTTTATAGAATATTCAGTAAACTTGATCAAAAGGATATTTTTGTAACTCCTGTATGATATTGAATTTTATTACTATTGATATAGATCCATAAGTCTAGGTTTATAAAAATTTCAAAAAAATTGGTTTAATAAATTTTCAATTTATTTAAAAATTTTTTCTTAAGCAACTTTATTCTTAAAAATTTCGATTTTATTCTATTAAAAATTTATTAGTTATTAGTAAAAATTAAAAAGCTAAATTTGTCCAGAATACAACAAAATAATTATTTATATCAAACAGAAATATAAATCTTAAAATTTATTAATTCACCAAAAACTTAATTATTAATATAATCAAATAAGTCCTATCTATAGCTTGTTACATTCCTATCAATTCATCCTCCAAACAATTTAAAGAACACTACATTAAGGTTACAGACCTAAATTGGAAATCGCCACAAAGCAATGTTGCTGTAGCAAGAAATTACACGAACCTACCTTTACTATTTTATATATACCGTAATATTGAATTCACTAACGTCTTTCGATTTTAATCTCATATAATGTGTGGTCGGTAATGAATCAGACAAGGACCTAAGGCAAGATATCTTGAAGAATCGATATAAACCTAAATTTAACTAAACCCTGTCCTATCAATTTAAGTATTGTGTTATTTTATAAACATATATTTAAAATACATATACATATAATATCTATATGTATATAAATATATATATATTGATTATTTCTATCAACATTGTTCGTTAGACAAGAGGCATTGTTAGTATCGCCACAAAAATAGACAAATAGATATTCGTGATTCTTGAAATAATAATAATTTTCACAAGCTTTAAATAAAAGTATTACCTTGTCTTCACTTTCTTCTGGATCTTCTCGCCAGAATCTTTTCTAAAACTCTCTTTCCTTCACAATCCGGGAAGTTCCTAAGATCATAATACACTGGTGCAATTTCTAAAAGCCTAATTCCACAAAAAATTTATTAGTCCTCAGAAGTAACCGTATAAAATGTGATCATAAAAATATATACCATTCGGCTTTCACTTCGGTCACAGTACGAATATATTTTTTAGTCGTAAGAACGAACTCATTATATAAAACCCATTCGGGTTGATGTCCAAGTGATGATGAAGGATGAAGTTGAACAGTCTAGAAAAAAAAAAAAAGGTCAGTTAATGCCGAATTAACGAGTCCTAACCAGCCTTAAATAATACCTGATTATCTTTGCATGTCAGGTAGTGACCGGTTTTCTCTAAGTGCGCTACTTGCATAAAGAACCCTGCTGTCAACGCTTTTCGTATATTTGTATAGTAATTTTTGTCTGCAAACGGTGTACTGACCAACTCCTGATCGCAGCGTTCCATTATTCGTTTGAGTTGCTGACGGACATTATCAGCAGCTTTAAGAGTTCGACCGTTGAGGAAGTTATTGTAACACCAATCTTGTTCATTGATATCTGTTGGACGTAATACAATTCAGAAATTATCCCGATATACGCTTAAAAACTATCGACTTACTTGTTTTGTAAGCATGGTACACGTTCAGCAAAGTTAGGTGGTCCCCATCAGTGTGTGCAAATTTGCTCTTTGCATCTTCGGCTTGTTTTTTTAAGTCATTTGGCCGCAAAAAGACATTCGGGACTTTTTTTTTTTTTTTTTTTTTTTTTTCGAGAAAACAAAGCGCTTTCAGTAAATATTCTTATCGGAATTTATCAAATCAATTAAGTATCCAGTAAATTTGAAACCTGATAGTAATGCTGTAATCGACAAGATTTCGTTCGAACATTTATACTTTGGACTTTCTATCAACATTTTGGCCAATTGCGGGTCTAATGGGAATTCAGCCATCAAATGACCTTCAGCAGTGAGATTACCATCATCGTCAAGCGCTCTAAGATAATTCAGGAGTTCCAAAGCACGCATCAAGGTTTCAGGTGCTGAAAATGTTCATTTAAAATCAGTAAACAAAGAATTATTTTATTTAAAATGGAATTCAGCTTGCAATTTACCGGGTGGATCCATGAAATCGAAATGCACAAGGTCGTCTATACCCAGTTTCTTCAATTGAAGGACCACACTTCCAAGATTGCTCCTCAATATTTCAGGATATGTCTGTTCTTGTAATTCTTTCAAAAATGCTTTCTCAGTATAAAGGCGGAAGCACTTTCCTGCACGCGTACGACCAGCACGACCAGCCCTTTGTTGAGCGGAGGCTTTACTAATGGGACTTACAAGCAGGGACTCCACGCGGATACGAGGATTATACACTTTCTGCTTACTAAACCCAGGATCGACAACATAAACTATGCCATCAATTGTTAACGACGTTTCGGCGATGTTAGTGGATACGATAACTTTTCGACCGGGCTTTCCATCTTTGACACGTGGAGGCGGTGCATCTTCGAAAATGCGTTGCTGCTGTTGAGGTGGAAGAGATGAATAAAGGGGGAGAACCTTCAGAGGACCCATATTAGGCTGTTGTTTTATCATCTCATCGGCTTCAGAACGAATTTTTGAACACGCGTTTTCAATTTCCTCTTCACCAGTAAGAAATAGCAAAATGTCGCCAGACGGCTCACATTCATGAATTTGCATAACTGTACGAATGGCTGCTTCTAGGTAATCTCGCTCCGGTTCAGGCGTGTAGTAAATTTCTACGGGAAAAGTTCGACCGGGCACAGTCTGAATCAAGAAATTAACCGTTATTAATATTCTGAATATTGCTTAGTATAGATCTCAATTGAATCCACGATATTACCAACACCGGTGCTTCATTGAAATATTTTTGGAACTTCTCGGCATCGAGAGTAGCGCTCATTACAACGACCTTCAAATCTGGGCGTGATTGGGCGATCTGTATGGGAAGAGAAAAAAAAACAAACAAACACAAACACATGTATATATATGATTTAGTAATCTATACGAATATCATTATGTTTATAAAAAAAGGTCTCCAGGTAGATTTTTTTTTTAAAAAAAAAACCAATATATATATATATATATATATACTTGTTTCATCAGGCCCATAAGAATATCGGTTGCCAAGGTGCGTTCGTGAGCTTCGTCGAGGATGATAGCTGAATATTTCTCTAATTTCGGATCATTCATTGCTTCACGCAAAAGCATACCATCAGTCAAATACTTCAGTAATGTCTTGGGTCCTGAGCAGTCTTCAAAACGAATGTTATAACCAACTTCTTCACCAAGCTTAACATCCATTTCGTCAGCAACACGCTGAGCTACGGACATAGCAGCCACTCGACGTGGTTGCGTGCACGCTATTTGTTTCTTCTTCAAATGAGGGAGTACATCATAACAGAGAAACTGTGGAATTCTAATAACGAAGTGACACAAAAGCAATGAGAATTCGCTCTAAATCTCAAAATTCAATATGCCTTTAGATTATCTTAACTGTGTAGTTTTTCCAGATCCGGTTTCACCAACGAATACCACGAATTGGTTGTTGTGAACCAATTCAAGAAATTCGTTTCGTTGTGCGTGCACAGGTAAAGTTCGCCGATTTTTCAATATCTCATAATATCGCTTGCCAAAAGGTTTGTTAGTAAACGGATTAACTTCGCCTTCCTCGGCAATTCGAGCTTGCTCGGCAGTAGTTTTCCCCGCAAACCACCCGTTAAATGGACTTTTGTTGAGGTGTGCCAGGTAAGGATTATTAATTATCTCGGTTTTTTGACGTTTACTTGAGTGTTCTTCTTGATTGCTTTTCTGAGGTTTATTTTCATTTGTGTTTGTTGTGTTTGGTTCTTCAATACTGCGTTTTTTCATTTTCTCCATTAGTCCTGATCAAGATCCGAGTCTCGGCAAAAGAAAAAAAAAAAAAAAAAAAAGGTATAATATATATATTTATATATTTATGAAATTGCTAATGATAGGAATCGTCGTCACATGACACAAATAATTGCATTTTTAAAAAATTGAGATTAAAAAATTTTTTTCTATAACAAGCAAATAAGTTCTTTATTTTAAATTAACAATTATATTATAAATTCATAATTTTCACTATGACCGGTCACAAAAGTATGACATTATGAATTTTTATTAAAAAGACTTGTTCTATCTAAAATTTCATGTAAATGTCTCAGAATACTATCATTGTTGTTCCTTCTTTCAGAGTTCGATAAAACCTCGAGTAGATTAAGTGTTATCTTCTACAACTTCCATCGGATCCATCAAATCTTCTTCGGTATCGAATGAAGATTTTAGGTCTAATAATCTGAGGGCATGTTCTACGTGGGAGATCAATTGATAATGTTGAATAATATTTTCAAGCGCCCGATTTTCTTCCTTGTAATCTTCAATGATTTTATTTATTTGCTCTGCGTTGAATTCGGGAAATCTCCTTTGCAATTGTTCGGTTGTGCTTGCAAAGAAGGCGTTGACCGGAAGACTAAACCATTGGTATAATGGCATGTCTAAATACAATTAACAATGTTCAATGGTGAGAATGATGGTTACTTTTAAATTGCATAAATTTCTCTGCAGTAAATAAAACCAACCAGTTCTTGTACTGATAACTTCCAAGGTGTGATACAAAGCGGTATTCTTGATTCGTTCATTTACATCATCATCAGACATATCATTTGTGTTTGATATGGAGTCCCACCTATAGATAATATTCGGTAACTAACATCTTGGAAACGATTCTATATGCTATCTTACCTATCGTTAATATAAATCCTTCGCCATATAGTTTGAACTAATGCGCGACGGCGATCATCGGGTAACTAAATTGCGTGTGCGATAGGAATGAGACCGACGTCAAGCGAAAATGTTATTAGAGCGCTGCTGGTATATAATTAATTGAATTACCGTTTCATCATTTAAAGTGAATTGCAATGCAAAAGGAAAATCATCTTTTTCCTTGCATTCTCTGAGAGTCATGACCTCAATAAGTTCTTCGGTTGAGATCTTTTCTCCTTGTAAAATGTATGGCACATACTGCTTGAACAACTATGAAGTTAGTTACAAATTTTTGTTAGTGATGATATAATAAAATTGTTTAATGTACTTCGAAAATTTCAACCTTTGCTAGGGTGGGCCTTGATTTTTGAACACCATTAATGATGTTATCGGCAACCGTAGTTGCTTGTTCATTCTCATCAACCAATCTTTTGTTGGACGTAACAATGATATCGAGGAACTGTTTTTGAATTTCTTTATAGGCGATAACAAGTTCAAATCCGTTTTCAATTTCTGCAATTTCTAAATGCGATTAGAATAACCAATGACATGTGACCATCGATATCATTATAGGAAAATACCTTCAATGGTGTTTTGCACCTCTTCGCTTTGGATGTCCGCCTCACTGTCTAATCCCGCCAGATAAGTCAGCTTGCTTATGCTAAGTAATGTCTGTAAAACCAAACAATTCAACGATTAAACTTGGCAAAATTCATTATCGCATCCATATTCATTTATGGAAGGAGAAATACTTTAACGTCCTCAATTCGTTTCTCTTTTAGAGTCAATTGACGAGTCTTAATTGAAGCCTCATCATATTCGCACATATTTATGTCGTGAATCCAGGAAATTCCTCTTAGGTTTCGTTCGTTTAAAAATGATTGAAGCCATTCTTTGTGTTCAATGGCATGCGGCTGACTCAATAATTCGGCGTACCGTTCTTAATAGATAATTTAAAATAAGATAAAGCGAGCAAATAAATGTTGGAGTAATTTGTATGCACACCTTGTTTAAGATACCATTCGTACAGCATGTATGCGAATTTTTCCTTGTATTTCTTCATATAGACTTCAATAAGTTCATCAGTTTCCGAATTCGATTCCATTACTAGAACGACCAACGATTTATAATCCTCATAGGTCTCGCTGAGCTCGAGAGCTCTTAGGCCCATTCCATTTCCATGGAGAACTACGAGAAATTAGAAAAGAACAAAATTGGTCGCATGAAATAAGCAAGTTTTAACTAGTTTTCTGGAAAGAAGTTTACCCAATTTTCTCAAGATTTCTGTCCACTGTTCACGGTAGTTTTTCGCGTGACTCTTCTCCATGATGTCATCACTGTTTAAAAAACGGGAAGAATCGTTAATGATGTTGTATGATTTGCATGAAACGTAACACCTCAATTCACACCTGTATAACCGTTGAACGGTTATTCCAAATAGGAGATCAGCAAGTCCAACTAACTGATCCTTGAGCTTATCAATATTCGGAGCCTGCCGTTGTTGGACATTTTCACTTTTCTTGATTAAATAAGATCCTTTATTGGAAGCTTGGAGTTGATAGCTTTTAATTGCGGCATCCGTGTCTTCAAATTGCTGGTGAAGAACCTTCAAGAGTTCAGATTGAACTGATCATGGAAGAACCCGGAAGATTATCGGATGTTAGGGATGCCGTTTTCTTTAAAAAAATCACATCATCGCACCGCTCGACTTACACGTCCAAGACCCTTTGGAATCATTCGTCGTTATGGCATACAAATCCTTTTCACCTTTTCGGAAATTAGATGCCGCTTCAAAAGCAAGCTAAAAAGAAATCCCAAAATCATCGTTTAATACAAGTAAACACATTTTCTTGGGTAAAGTCATTTACACGAGGAATACCAGTATAATCGAGTTTGCTTCAAATACTGCTATGTTACGTGCGTTAAGGTCGGAAATACGTTCGGTGACTCGTTGAATGTGCGTGAAAATAATTCCAAAATCTCGAACCTGTTTCATGCATAAAACGCCTTAATCTAAGATACGTTTTCGGTAGGTATAAGAGATGAAATTGCATCTTACATGGTAGCGAAAGAAAAATCTGACAGAGTCCTCGTTGGGCATTATCTTTATGTTGCAGTCTTGTATATAATCACGAATCGCACTAACCATTAATTTACGACGAGATTCTTCCGAACCGCTCCGGCTAGATCGTGATTTCACGCGAAATTAATGAACGCGAAGAAATAACGGAGTAAAAACACCATAATGTATTGCTTACGCATAAGACATGTCATAGTGTTCCCACAACTTTCTAGCACATGACATTTTTTCTGAATTCCAGAATAACCGTTGTTTTGTTGGAAGGTATAGCTGGATATTGGGGATGCAATGGGAGTTCAAAAGATGACAATAAGAATGATAAATAATAGGTTAATCGAGAACAACATTCGTAAATAAAACTCACCTTATCCATAATACCACTGTTGTTGATGAATTGAACAAGTGCAGTCATCTTATTGCATCTCTCGTTGAGCTGGACCTTCAAATCATTCAAATTGTCTAAATACTGAGATCCTATAACAAATAAAATTTGCTTTATAATGAGGATCGCCCATCATCATTCATAAGCTAACGTGAGGATAAAATGAATACTTGCGCAAATCCAAAATTTCGTCGCTAATGTCAACGACAACCTGATTAATATCTCCTCTGAAGTCTGGTGATAAAGTACATTCCACCGGAACCTTCAAATATACCATTAGGTTAAATATTAAACATAGAGTGGAACTGAAACAACCAACCATGAATTAATTACGTTGTTATCGCTCTTGAGAAAAATCGCTTGTTCCAATATGAATTTCAACTCTTTGTTTATTTTTGCCTGCAAACCGTATTCAAGTTTTTAAGCTAAAAAGCTCCAAGTAATCGTCTTAGCGTCAGGAAATACCTGTGAATCTTCGATGTCCATTTCATCATACCTAATTTACGAGAAAGTAAAAGTATAAATGTACCGACAATGAGTACCCCAATAATAAGATGAAAGACGTCAATATTAATATCCATACTTATTTTGAGGAAGAGATCTTTTGATTTCGGAAATATTTAGTTGACAGGACATGATGCCGGTTTTCGTTGTTAAAACATGAATTTGGCTAATGTCATCGTCCTTGTCTTTGAAAGAACCTGACTTGGATTCTTCCGCACAAAAACCGATTATATTATCATTAATGGGGTCTCGCATTGTTATAATATTATTATAACTAGCGCCTGCGGAAACCCCACAAATGAAAATATTATTAATATCAATTAC